ATTGAGACAGTGCCATGCGTGCATACCTGTTACAGTATAAGACTGAGTTAGACATCTATCACACTTAGACTCACTAATTACTTTACTAAAATATAGCCAATCATAGAGGAAAATCAAGAATATCCTAGTTCATTTTATTAAACCAAGATCCAACCAGTTTCTTTCAAAGTAATCCTTGCTCAAAGCCTTAGTAAATATATATATATATATATATATATATATATATATATATATATATATATATATATATANGCTAGAAATTATTTATATTCGATAGCTGACAAAATGTATAAAATTTATATAATTTTATATATAACATAATATATATATATATATATATATATATATATATGCAATCACGTTAAAGTATAATAGACTTAAAAGAAGTTTAGAGTCAATATACCAAATCAAGTCAAAGCAAATTCGTCAAACCGAAGCTATCTTCTTAGGATTTTAATTGGAGTATTATAACTTTTAGCTTGCGCTAGAAATTATTTATATTCGATAGCTGACAAAATGTATAAAATTTATATAATTTTATATATAACATAATATATATATATATATATATATATATATATATATATGCAATCTACTCCTCTGCCTTGCAAAATTTCATAGAGATGTGATCCTTTTCAACATTGTCTCTCAAAAAGTGATGTCTCACATCAATATGTTTGGTTATCTTGTGATGAACCGGTTTCTTTGTCATGTTCATTGTGCTTGTATTATCACAGAATATAGGAACCCTTTCTATAATTACTCCATAATCTTCTAGTTGTTGTTTGATCCACAATAACTGAGCACAACACGAGGCAACAACTACATACTCAGTTTCTGCAGTGGATAAAGCTACAGAGTTTTGTTTCTATGAAGCCCATGAGATCAAACATGAGCCAAGGAAGTGAGCCATACATAATGTGCTCTTCATGTTTACCAAATACCCAGCATAATCAACATCTGCACACCGAATTAGATCAAATGAATATCAAGATGGGTACTAAAGAACCAAGTCTTGAGTACGTTTGAGATATCTCAAGATCCTTTGAACAACCTTCAAGTGCGACTCCTTGGGATTGGACTGAAATCTAGCAAATAACCTCACACTATACACAATATCTTGTCTACTTGCCGTTTGGTAGAGCAAAGATCCAATCATACTCCTATTTTTTTTCTTGAAAGGGAGACCAGGTTCATCCATACAAACCAGGTTGTAGCTACTATGGGAGTATAGATTGTGTTTGCATTGCCCATTTCAACCCTCATGAGAAACTCCTTGATATACTTCTGTTGATGTATCGTTATGCCTTTTGCCTTTTGCTTAGCTTGAAGTTCTAAGAAGAAACTTAATTCTCCCATCATACTCATTTCGCACTTCCCATTAATTTTGCAAAGTCATTGTATAAAGATACATTTGTCGCTCTAAAGATAATATTATCAACATATATTTGAAAAACCAGTAGGTTCTTTCTACTATTCAATAAAAATAGAGTGTTATTAATTTTTCCTCACGAGAACATGTTCTCCAGGAGAAATTTTGACAATCTTTCATACCATGCTCTTGCATTTGCTTAAAACCATACAATGCCTTGTCCAATTTATACACATGATTTGGGAACTTGTGGTGTTAAATCCTGAAGGCTGACACACGAACACTTCTTCTTTCAAATACCCATTCAAACTGCACTTTTTATATCCATTTGATATAGCTTGAAACCTATGCAGGATACAAAAGCAATAAGCATTTAAATTGCCCCCATTCATATGGCTATGTTAAATGTCTCATCATAATCGATACCTTCTTATTGATTGTAACCTTGTACAACCAACCTTGCCTTATTTCTGGTAATATTTCCTTGATCATCTGGATTATTCCTGAATATCCACCTTGTTCTAATGATTGTCTTGTCTTCTAGCCTAGGAAGCAGGTGTCATACTTTATTTCTTTCAAACTGATTGAGTTCCTCCTGTATCTCTACTATCCAATCTGCATATTCAAGTGCTTCTTTGATGTTCTTTGACTCAACCATGGATATGTAGGCTGTGAAAGGGATCATATTTCTAAATTTTGGTCTTGTTACTATTTCAGAGTTTATAGGTATGAGAAAATTTGTAAGTGGCTAAGAGATCTAATGCTTCCAAGCTCTCACTTGAGAATCCTGAGACCCATTGTGTTCTTCCTGTTCGGCATTAGGAATAGCTTCAGTCACTTCTGCATTAATATCCAGATCTATTCCCCCTGCTTATTGTTGCACATCATGCTCAACTTCTTGATTAGATTGATCATCATATTATAACACAAAGTGTTCAAGCTTAAACCTAGAAACTACCAATCTTAAACATATAAAATAAAAACCCAAAACACATAACCTACCAGTTCTAAACACAGAAGATAAGTGTTAACATCACAATAACCACTACAAAAATAGCAGCAACCCAGAATTTTAACCTTCCCACCCTTCCCCAACAATAAAAGCAATCAGTCTTCTTAAGAAGTTCCACAATAACAGAATTATTTTGTTCATCAATAGCTGGATCAAACCATGAAATAGTCACAACCTTTACCATTTGTGTAACTTTGACAACTTAGAAACCTTCTTCCATGTTTGGTTGGTATCCATATAATGTTTAGTTCAACAATAACTCCACAATAGCATAAAGGTAACTCCTCCATTACGGGCGCATGCAACAAGAATGGCAACAATGGTGTTTTATGCGATAGAGAAGAATAATTATACAACCCTTCGAAAATAATGGAGCTGCAATGGAGATACCCAACAAACTATAGACTCGGAAAAATAAAGAAAAAAAGAAGCAAGATTTTGATAATATCTAAAAGATGATTCCATTGTTCAACAATGGAGAATGAAGAAGGAAGCTTTTAAATAGGGTAAATTACTATTAGGGCCTCTTTCCTCGGCCTCATCCCCTTAAAGGTATGTGAATTACGCACTAGTGCCTACTCAGTCTTAAAAATGACACATAGTCTGAGTAACGGTCATAAGCATTTAAAATATAGAGTACGAACAAGTATAAGTGTCCACTTTATAACCCGTGGAGTGGAGAGGTCAGGATGTACATGTGTTTCCTAGGCTATGCCCCTTTTTTAATGTGATTTGTGTTGTGTCTTTAATTCTTACGTCTAGTGTTAGACCTCCGCCAATTGAGCTCGACTTGACAACAAGAGTGTTGTCATGAGGCAGCAATAGTGTTGCAAAGATAGGTGCATGAGTAGCACCAAAATCAAAAAGGGAAACGGGCAAGCGATGGCTAAGGCTTTGACGGAGGCGAGGCAGCTTGGCAAGGGCTTGACAATGAGTTGCGGGCTAAGGGTGACACTTGATCATGACTAAGTCATCAAGGCATGAGGCATTGATGCCAAGGAAAGGCAAAAACGGATAGGCAAAGGCAAGCAAATGTGCAACGGGAAGGCAGTGCACGGGCAGATTTGTCATGCCAATGAGTTGCAGCAAACGGGCCAAGTTCGTGGGCGATGGCAAGGCAAATTGGGGCACAATGCAGCTGGATACAATGGCATTGGAGCTGGTCCAAGCCAAGGCACGAAATTGGGGCAGCAAGTCTTGGATTGACAAAGTCAAAGGCGGTTACCGGCACATGCTGTGCACATGGGCAGCAGTTGGAGCTTTGCTAAAATGCTGGCAGGAGTTAGCACGTTTTGGGGGGCCATGGTCCCATTTACTTTAGCATGATTTACATGATCCTAGTAGTTGGGGGTGTCAACTACACTAAACTAAAGTAGTGGGCTGAATGGGCAAGTGTTAAAGCCTAAAATGGGGAAACTATTGTGTAAATGGGGCATGTTCATGTTTTATAAATGGACAACACCCATTCCCTTTGTGGAGGAGAGTAAAAAATGTGTGTGAGTGCATGTTTTGAGTTAGGAAGGAGTCCTAAGTCTTGTTTTCAAGAGTGAAAACAACCTAAAGCTAAGAGTAGTCTTGTGAGGGTCAAGAGTGATCTTCATTTTGTACGCGGATGTACTTGAGTTTGAGTTTCTTTGTATGCTCGAGTTAAATACAAAGTTGGGAAAAGAGTTTCCTGTAATATTGTGCCTTTTGTTCACGTTTATATTCTGTCCCTTCATCATATTTTCGTTGCCTAAAATCAGTATCTACTTACTACGTTGAGACGCTGCCTAAATAAATCAAAGTCCAAAGTTGCTGAAATTTTGGCGGAGTGTTGGAGCAGGCTGAAGTCAAGGCGAGTCTTGGCTGCCGCGCGGGTTGTTTTTGAGTGACATAAAACGCGCCCGTGACATCTAGGATCCAGGTTTTACCTTTGTAATGGAAAAACCTTTTTTGAGGTTTGAAATATTTTATGGTAGTTCTTTTATTTTGATTTTTCTGTAAGAATTTTAAATAGTAAAAGTTATGTGATATTCCAAAATGACCCTCTCGGTAGCATTAATTTTTTTTAATATACTACTTATGTTTATGATCCAGCTCTTTTTTAAATGTTAATTAATTATCTATAAATACACTTTCATTTCAGGGAAAAGAAGGCTTTTTCAAGACATTCAAGTCTACGAGAAAACCCCTAAATTTTCTAAACTAACTTTTACATGAAATCCCCAGACACAGAGACGGATATTGTATTTTAATGGTGGGTTTAGATAAACCCATATCTTTCGACTAAATTCTTGTATGAAAATTCACCAAAATTAAAAAAATAGTAAATATGAATTCATAATTTTAAAAATATAACGGGTTCAATGCTAAAAACTTTTAAAGTTGTATTAATAAACTTTAAATCCTGAATCCGCCAGTGTCCGCATATGAGGTTGAGACAATGTGATATCATATGTGTTATGATCGGCTTTGTTCAGGCTCTAACTTCTCGAGGGTGGCTTATAAAGCACACATGGAATTTTTCAATTGCCCAAAGAAGGAATTTTCTGAAAACCACATAGAAATTCAGAGAAAAACCACAAAGCAATTTAGAAGAAAGATCTTCTAAACAAAGAAGGAATCATTCTGTTCTCCATGATTGAAATCAAAGCAACGGAATCTGGTTGGCGCGTTTGGTAATCGATGCCTTTATAAATGAATTGGAGAGAGGAATAAGTTGGAAGTCTCTGAACTAAAACTTGAATGGAAGCCAATGTTGGAAAGCAAGCCTATTCTGAATTTGATCCATATAGCGAGTGGCAAAAGGAGGAATTTTATGTTCTTATAGTCCGCATCCCAGGTATGAATAATATGGTTCCATATTCATGTACATTTTTCCACGCAAAATCATGGGAATAGGAATTGTTTAAAAGAAACTGGGTTCATAAGTTTTTCCAATATGCAGAGCTCAAGTGGTAATGGTTTAATGACCAGAATACGGGCTTTCACTTTTCAAGGTTCTAAATCTTTTCTGATAAGTTTCTACGTAATTAGCTAATGTTTATTCTTCTTTTTCTTTTATCTCGACCACTTGATTGAATAAACTAAATGCACACCCAGTTATACGCAGTCGTACAAGTAATATAAGATTGTAAGTCCAAATATCATATGCATAGAATTTGTGATTAACTACAATTAATCTATTCAAACGATTTTCTAAAGATTATTAACTACAATTAATTTGGAATCAAACTAAGAAATTAAAGAAAATACGTTGGCAAGCTTAGATGAGAGACAATATTCCAGAGCTATAAGTTAGCTAACAATCATGTTGAGTCTTTCACTTAAATTGTCTAATTAATTTTTCTGGTTTATTGATTGACAAGGTTAATATTGCTCGTAATATTCTCCCGAAGTACTACTCAATTATTCAAGCTAACCTAATGCCTATATACCTATGGAATTAGGATTAACAAGAACGCATTAATAATTCCCGTATAATAACCAAGCAAGACGATTAGGTATATCTCTATCCTAATTGCAAATCCGCTCCCAATACTCAGGTTCAAGATCTAATTGCTCTACTCAATCTTATATGCAATCTAAATTCCCTCTCCCGAGTTCAATCCTATATTCGTAGATGGTATTTAGTTGGTGATCAAGCAATCAAATAATTAAGCGCAAGATTGAATAAATAAACCAATATGATAAAATAATAAGAACAATTCAAGCTTCAAACCACAACGTTCATGTAGCACCCACAACTTTAGAATTAATGAACTATGATATTAAAGGAAGAGAAGAGAGAAGAAAAACTAGTTGAAAACCTCCTCCAAGCGTGGTTTATGTTCTTCCCTCCAAAGTGGCATGTTCTCCTCCCAAAAATATATTAGATCACCTCCAATTTAGGTTTAGAACCCCTTTTATACGAGTTAGAACTGTGTATGGCCGAAATAACTTTATCCCCGGCGAAATAGAAAAAAATCCCGTCACCCAGCGTCCAGGCCAGCGCGTGCGCTGGCGCTGGCGCTGAATCCAGTAATGTTCACGCCTCCTCTTTCAATGTATCTCTTCTTTGTTTTGTCTTCTACTTGGGGAGGACAACCACCAAAGGGTATCCCGCATTTGTCTCCTTATTTTTTATTCTTTTAATTTTTTATCGCGTTTTATTCAATTTTGCTTCAAATTTCTTCACTTCACATCGCTTTATTCACACAGTTAAAATATAATATTAAGTATAAAGTAATTTAATTAATACTCAAAAAATAATTAAAAGTACTCGAATGTGAGGCAACAATAATGTGTAAATATATATATTTTTGGTGGAATATCACCAAACTACAACATTTGCGCCAAATAGTGTATGTAACCAACTATTGTGTCAAATTATTCGACCTTTTTACTTTCAAAGTCGATTACACTTCTTGCACTAGAGCTAATTGATTAGCATATATCACATAATAAAAATTATCAAAGTAATTATATATATAGTATATTGTTTCGGTTACAGGTCTTACGCTATTTAAACGGAAAATAAAACTATATCTAACTTTTTATTTAAAGATACAACTTATCAAAGGCCAATTCAGAATTTAAACTTATAAGTTCAACCTTTAAGTATTTTAACATTGAACACTTATTTTTTTTTTTTAAATGTATGGGTGCGTACCTAATATTTGCCGCCATTTTAATAGATTTTACATAAATTTATGCTCTCTAAAAGTATATAGTATATATGAATCCGGTACTAAATTCGCCTATGCAACCTACATAAACTAGAACAAGCTCTTTTTATTTATTTTTGCTTCATCTAATAGGTTATTAATTTAGGCTCCTGACGAATCCCTCCATCTTCTTTTTTTTTTTTTCCACCGCAAATGTATACCAAAATCTACTGAACAAGTAGATTAACAATGCAAATTTTATTCATCTCCTAATGTTCTTTTTCTATTTTGTTGTTCCAAGAATTCACCAATAAACAAGGATTGAAGGTGCAAATTAGCAATTTGGGAGTGGTCAAGATTTCTGGAGATCGTCAAGTCGGTTTTTCAAGAATTAGATTTTATAAGGAATTCCCAATACCAAAAGACTGTAATACAGATGAAATCCAAGCAAAATTAGCAAAAGGTTCTCTCAAAATTTCATTTCCAAAGAAATTTACAGCCCCTCCACCATTAGCTGTTAATCCTAAACCAGATGAAGAAACAACACCAACTCTAAAAGAAAATAACTCGACTACATCCGCGAAAGTAGAGGACGAAACAACAAACAACTCAAGATTGAAGAAGATCAAGAATGCAGCTATGGTGGCTGTGATTTCTGTCATTATGTATAGCTCTGCAAATAGTTGAAGGAATCGTCCAAACACTTAGGAATTTGTATTAGATGGATTTGTGTTATCGTTTAGGACTTTAAAGCAAAGTCCTATTATGTGAACTTTCATATATCAATTCAGTGACCTGAGCAATTCGAATGTAAGCAGAGAAGAGGGAAAAGAGATGAGTGTGAGAGAGAAGCTAAATTATCTGTATTGAATGAAATGAGCTCTTAGCTCAAATGAACAAGATACAAGGACTAAATGTAACTAACTTTGACTAACTACACTGCCAGCTGCAATTAAACTAACTCTACCTGACAGCTGTATAATTAAGTAAACTAACAGACTTCTAACCTATGTGGTAATCATGGTTAGTGATGTTGGGAAAGCAAGGCACAAACAATACCCAAGTCTAAGGTTTTCAATCTATTTGAACCAATAGAAGACAAACAAATTCAAGGATAAACGTATATGGAAACAAGTATATAAACCAACACGAATATAGCAGGTAAAATAATCAAACACACGAGACACTAAGATTTACGTGGAAGACCTCTTCAATGTGAAGAGTAAAAACCACGGGACCAAAGGCCCTAAAAGCTCCACTAAATTCATCAACAAGAATTATAAAAGTTCTCTAAATTGGCTTCAAAGCAAAGGCCAAACTCAGTGCAACAATAGAAACAAGATGGCATCAAAACAATTAAAAAAAGAAGAGAAATCACTCCAAAGACGGGCTACTATTCGCACCTCCAAAACTGAAGCTACAGGCCTCCAAATCCAATCTCCATCATTGAAATTCAAGAAGCAGAAGTTAAAAACTCCCGGTTCAAATCACAATCCGACGATTAACGGTAAGAAAATGTTATTATTTCATACTTTTGGAGAACTTCCAACTATCAAGGAGACGAAAAGCTATGTGAAGTAAAAGAAGAAAAGGTCGCCGATTGCTACTAAGAACCTAACAGAACTTTTCAAAATGTGGGTTAAAAAACTTGAAGCAGACTGCCTGAGCAGAAATTTTCTGGTGCAAACGAACACACTTTTCTCTCTCACGAGGCTTCAAAAGCGGCTGAACCCTTATGTTTTCTCCCTTTTAAACCTAAAATAGGTCATATATATATATATATATGTCTTGATAATATGCATTGTTACTAAAAGGAGGAAGGAAAAACTTAAGTAATTTTGAAATTGTAAACCTCATTTGCTAATCATGCAGTACCCAAATGCAGGCCATTATGTTATTTATGCCGGGGGGAAAATGAATTTTGTGATATATTTGTTGTCCACTCCTATTGGTTTTTCGCATAACAACCAACACTTGCTTGGATCTAGTTTGTTGTGAGACGCTGATTGGGTTGGTTAACCCTACTCATCCTTCTACTTCAAGTCTGCACATCTTTCTCGGCTCAAGTTGTCTCATGGTCTTCAAAAGAAATAAAACATTGTTGGCAAGTCCAATGCAAATAATAGAGCACCTGTTGTTAGCCTCTCTAGCAACAGTCCAATGTTAGGATAGATGTGGAGTGCATGATCAGATTGCTTCTGGAGGAAGAGGCCATGCGTTATTGTTTGTTTCAGATAGCATAGAACGTGCTTAATAATAATCCAATGAATTGAAATTGGACGATGCATGAATTGAGAAAGCTTATTCAGAACACAGCTTATGTTAGGGCGTATGGAAGCCAAATACTGCAATTTTCCAATAGTAGAGAGAATTATTGCTTTACATCAGTGAGCAGAGCCATCATCCAAGTTAAGTTGCATGGGGGTAGTCAGGTAGATAGCATGAAGTGGACACCTTTGCTTTCTTCCACTAAAAATTCTTTGAGAACATCTGAGATGTATTTAGACTGAGAAAAAATCAAACCATATGCATTTGGAAGGACTTCAACACCTATGAAATAATGTAGTAGCCCAAGATCCTTGAGAGTAAAGCGGTTAGATAAGGCATTCTTGACATTGTTGATGGTTGTTGGCCATTATTTCCTGTCACTACAATATCATCAACATAAACAAGAAGATATAGTTGTATACCGAATGAGTGAAATATAAACAAGGAAGTATTTGAGTGAGGTTTTCTTAAAACCAAGCGAGACAAGAAAATCCTTGAGTGATTGTACCATGATGTGAGGCTTGTTTGAACCCATAAATGGCCCTTTGAAGGCGACATATCTGTTGGTTGTTTCATATAAACATCTTCTTTAAGATGACCTTGAAGGAAATTCATTGTTGACATCTAGATAATGAAGGGGCTAACAAAAGCAAGTGGCAACTGAGAGCACAACGTACACTGTTGTGGGCTTGACTACAGGACTATATGTGGATTGAAAGTCAACACCACTATATATGTTGTGTAAATCCCTTTGCAACTAATTATTCTTTGTAAATAGAACCTGTAGATACGTGAATTTTATTGAATTTAGTCCATACAAAATTTGGACTTGATTCTTAAATTCGTAAACTATTGGCATAATTCTATATTAAATTAATTAAGTCTAATATATGGATTTAAATAAAAGTTGAACTTCATTTGGATTAGCACATTTAATTGGGCTATGAATAATGAGCCCACGTCTTTAAGTCCAAGATGTCATCTTCCTAGAGGCCCAGTTTGATGCCACATGTCAAATGATGTGGCACGCCAAGTCAACGGAAGAGCCAATAGGATCATGCCACGTGTCAAAATGACAGGGGATGCCAAGCCAATTAAAAGGCCAATGAAACTGCGTCACTTGTGCAAGTTACATGTTCTGGCCAATCAAATGCGGCCTTGTCACTCTTCAATTTGATTGGTCGAAAAGAGCTTGTTCTCATCACAACTCTTCTCTTTCAAAACTATAAATAGGAGTCTTTATAACTCAGAAAAGACACCAGAAGTTATAATAAAAAGTAAGAGAGAGCTCGCGGATCTAACACCGCATATTTCTCTACAAGTTTCAAACTTCAAGTAATCAAGTTCAAGTTCAAGAATTCAAGTTTAAGCTCAGAAAAGAAGAACAAATCAAATCGATATGTTGAATGGCTCGTCATCAACAACATATCGATTATTATTTTGACGCAATTTTAGTTCTCTACAAATTCTGGCACGCTCGGTGGGACAATCTCTACCTCTCATCTCAACTTTTCATCACTCAAGTTCAAGAACATCGAAATGCCTTTAAAGAAAATCAACTTCAGACCAACTTCTACCAAGACTGCTAATTTTAGGTTCTATGCTGATGTGGAAAGCATCATCGATGTTACCTTTGGAAGCTTTGGTCCGGTTACGAGGAGCAAAGAAAGCTCTTTAGGACAACAAGCACACCAAGTGTTGTCCGTATCAACCCCCATATTCGGATCTTCATCCCCAAAAGGAGCAAGATCCTCTACGAATGTACCTGAAAGAGGAAGTGATATCGCTGAAAAGATTAAGAAAACTCTAGCTCTGCTTGACCTCTCTGGATCCAAGAATTCTGCTATGACGGAAGATGATGATACTTCAAGTAATGGATCCTCCCCATTTACACAACTTAACGTCAGCCAATCGAGGATCAATCTATGTGACAATCCATGCTACTCTCCACCATCCACAACAATCATGCAAGCAATGGTAACAAACGCTTCATCTATGGAGGAGCAGTTGGCAAACTTCACAGAAGCAATTAATGACTTGACCAAGTGCATGCAAAATCAAGATTCTAGAATTGACAAGTTGACGAATAGAGTGGGAATCTTGATGGAAGAAGAGTCCATCCATGTACCTGTAGAGCTCCCAGAAGTTTTAGAGGATGATCCTTCCCGAAGACAAGTAGCATCCGCTAAGGCTATCCCTCTCTCATCTGGAGGGATGATTCCAATCGATCAACTAAAGGATTTCATTGAAGGAACTATAAAAAAAAAGTATAAAGTTACTTCCAAGTCCTCCCTTACATATGCAAAATCATACACTTCAAGGAACAATATGTTGAAGATGCGTGCTGGCTATCAACCTCCAAAATTTCAACAATTTGATGGCAAAGGCAATCCAAAACAACATGTAGTGCACTTTGTTGAAACTTGCAATAATGCTGAAATGTATGGCGATTATCTTGTCAAACAGTTTGTTCGATCTCTCAAAGGTAATGCATTCGATTGGTACATAGATCTCGAATCTGGATCCATTGATAGTTGGGAGCAGTTGGAGCAAGATTTTCTCAATCGTTTCTATAGCATAAGGCACATACTAAGCATGATCGAACTTACAAACGCTCATCAACAAAAATATGAGCCAGCTATTGAGTTCATCAACCGCTGGAGGAGTTTAAGCCTCAATTGCTAAGATCGACTTAGCGTACGTTCTGGTATCGAAATGTGCATTCAAGGCATGCATTGGGGTATTTGCTACATCTTACAAGGCATAAAGCCTAAAACATTTAAAGAACTAGCAACTCGTTCTCATGAAATGGAACTAAGTATGGCCACGAGTGGAGACAAAGGTCTAACTATCTTCGAGACTTACGATGAAAACAAGAAGAAGAAGAAGAAGAAGAAGAAGAAGGCAAGGATAAGGGCAAGTTTTCATCAAAAAATGAAATTGAAGCGTCTATGCATGTCACTATGCTCCTCAACGCACGAGCTTAACCTGCAAGTTTTGATGCTCCTCAACGCACGAGCTTAAACTGCAAGTTATGAGGCTCCTTGATACATGAGCCTAAACTACATATCATAAAGCTCATCAAATTCGAACCAAATATTCATGCGACAAAGCTCATCAAATTTGAGCCAAATATTCAAGTTTTGAAGCTCTTCAAATTCGAGCTAAATCTTCAAATTACAAAGCTCTTCAAATTCGAGCAAGTCTTCAAGTTGTAAAGCTTCTTAAAATTGAGCAAATTCTTCTTGCAAAGCTTCTTGATACACAAGTTTAAACTGCACATTACTCCTTGTTGCACGAGTATAAACTGCATGAAAAAATATATTTTTTCCTGAACTACGTAATGACTTGATCCTCCTCATTGGGTACGTAGGAAACTTAGAGTTTTATTTTGAGTTCAGTCACATAAAGAAAAGTCTCTTTATCATGATGGAAAAGAGAAGTTGATGATGCTTTCCTCCAAAGCTCAAAAAATGGAGCACTACACGTATTCTTTCATCAAGTCATGAGAAGGATGTTTCATGCACTTCTTTACCAGAGCTTGAAGGTTGGGATGCTCCATAAACTTCTTCAACAAATTGCAAGAAAAGGTCGTCCAAGCCAAGTCTCGATTGATGGGATGTTTCGTATACCT